TACAAAATGCAAAAACTGATATACATTTAAAAAAATGGATAAAAAACACATGATTATATTAATCACTGCAGAAAAAGCATTTTATAATATCTGGTACACATTTATGATAAACACTCTCAACAAAGTGTGAATAGAGGGAACATACCTCAATGTAATAAAGGTAACATATGACAAACTCATAGCCCACATCATACTATCATACTTAATGGGCAAAAACTAAAAGTGTTTCCCTTAAGATCAGGAATAAGACAGGGATGTCCACTTTTACCACCCTTACTCAACATAGTATTTCAAGTACTAGTGACATCAATCAGACAAGAAAAATAGAATAAAAGTCATTCAAATTGGAAAGAAAGAAGTAAAACTGTCATTATTTGCAGAAGACACAATACTGTATATATAAAATGCTAAATAGTCAACCAGAAAATTACTAAACTAACTAAATGAATTCAGTAACGTAGCAGGATACAAAATACATATCCATAAATTATCTTTTTTAAATACACCAATAATGAACTCTCAGAAAGAGAAACTATGAAAACAGTCCTATTGGCAATTGCATAAAAAATGAACTTAACCAAGGAGGTAAAAGACCTGTACTTGGAAAATGATAGGACAATGAAAAAAGAAATAGAGGAAGATACAAACACATGGAAGCGTATACCATGTTCATGGATTGGAAGAATTAACATCATTAAAATGTCTATACTACCCAAAGCAATCTACAGATTCAATATAATCCCTATTAAAACACCAATGGCAGCCTGGCTGGTGTGGTTAAGTGTCATCCTATGAACCAGGAGGTCAGGTTTCAATTCCCGTTTTGGGCACATGCCCACTTGCAGGCTAGATCCCCAGTGTGGGGCATGAAGGCGGCAGCCAATCAATGATTCTTTCGCATCATTGATGTTTCTATCTCTCTCTTTCTCCCTCTCCCTTCCTCTCTGAAATAAAAATATATTAAAAATTACAATGGCATATTTCACAGAGCTAGAATTATATATAATGATCAAGTAGCAGTTATCCTAGGAATGCAAGGTTAGTTCAACATCTGAAAGTCAATTAATGTAATACATCATATTAACAAAATAAAAAACCACACAATCGTCTTAAGAGATACAGAAATGCATCTGACAGTACCCAATACTTTCATGTGTGAGTGTGTGTACACGCAAATAGAGGTGATAGGTAAAATGTATGGGGTTTCTTTTTGAAGTGATGAAAATACTCTAAAACTGACTGTGGTGATGGTTGCACATCTGTATGAATATATTAAAAACCATTAAATTGTACACTTCATTATTTTAAAAATTTTATTTCATTTTTTCCATCACCTTTTATCTCCTCTCTGCCCTCTACCACTTCTACCTATACCCTTCCATCTCATGATCACCACACCATTGTCCCTGTTCTCTCTTTTTATTTATTTATTTATTTTGCTCAATCCCTCCACCATTCCAACCCTCTGCCCTAACCATCCAGAGCTGTCTGCCGACTATGTATCTATGAGTCTGTCTCTATTTTGCTTAATAGTTTAATTTGTTCATTAATTTCCACATATGAGTGAAATCACATGGTACTTGTCTTTCCCTGACTGGCTTATTTCACTTTGCATATTGTTCTCTAGGTCCATCCATGCTGTCACAAAGGGTAAAACTTCCTTCCTTTTTATGGCAGGGTAGTATTTCATTGTATAAATGTACCACAGCTTTTTTATCTATTCATCTACTAAAGGACACTTGGACTGCTTCTAAATCTAGGCTAATGTAAGTAACACTGCAATGAACACAGGGGTACATATATTCTTTCTAATTAGTGATTTGGGGTTTCTTCAGATAAATTCCCAGAAGAGAAATCCCTGGGTCATAAGGCAGTTCCATTTTTAATTTTTTGAGGTAACTCCACACTGCTTTCCACAGTGGCTGCACCAATCTGCATTGCTACTAACAGTGCAAAGTTTCCCTTTTCTCCACATCCTTGCCAACACTTGCTTTTTGTTGATATTGATGGTAACCATTCTGACAGGTGAGAGGTGATATCGTATTGTAGTTTAAATTGCATTTCTTTGATGATTATAACAATGACAATTTCTTATATGTCTATTGGTCTTGGATTATTTATTGGTGTTGAGTTTTATAAGTACTTCATACATTTTGAATATTAACCCCTTTTCAGATGTATCATTGGCAAGTATGTTTTCCCATTCCATAGTTTTTCTTTTCATTTTGTTGATGGTTTCCTTTTCTGTGTAAAAACTCTGTAGTTTAATGTAGTGCCATTTGTTTATGTTTTCTTTTGTTTCCCTTGCCTGAGGAAAAAATATTGCTATAAGAAATATCCGAGATATTACTACCTATGTTTTCT